CCAGGATGGTCTCGATCTCTTGACCTTGTGATCCACCCGCCTCGGCCTCCCAAAGTGCTGGGATTACAGGCTTGAGCCACCGCGCCCGGCCATCTCCTAATTACTTTTACAATTTATTTGTTAAAATCTGGATCCAAATAAAGTCTATACACTATAGTTAGTTGATATGTCTCTTACTCTTCAGATTTCAGTGCTCCATGTGTTTCCGCCTTGGATATTTTTATTTGTTGAAAAGCCAAGTCATTTGTCCTGCTGAGGTTCCCACAGTCCTGTGGGGTCTTCAGACATTGTCTTCTATCCCCTATATTGCCTTAAAAACCTAACTCTGGAAAGGATGCATTGAATTCCGGTTCTGTTTGTTTGGCAAGAATATTACATGGGTGATTTTGTCTACTTTGATCAGGAGGTATAATGTGCCAGTCAGCCATTGGTGATTGCTGTCCAAATTCTTCATTTCACCAGGGTGCCGGTAGTCCCAGCTACTCAGGAGGCTAAGGCAGTTTCTTCATTCTTTCCTCATTAATTAGCTAGAATATTTCTATAAAGAGAAACTTAAAATCAAACTCTGTGGTTTCCCTTGGGAAAGGCAGGGCAAATATTAGATCTCTTTATTTGCCAGTTTCCAAATAGTGCCCTACCAAGCATCTCCCAAAGTTGAAAGCAAGAGTTATTGTTGTTTTTCAATAATAATTAGGAATTCATGGATTAAAATGTTTGATTTGTTTCTGTGTATTGCACATAATTATCCTTTTGCTCAAATTATCCCATTTTAATAGCTGGCTGCCTCTTTTCATTGGATAAAGCTAAGGCATGGGCCAGGCATGGTGGTTCACGTCTGTAATCCCAGCACTTTGGGAGGCTGAGGCAGGCAGATCACAAGGCCAAGAGTTTAAGACCAATCTGACCAACATGGGGAAACTTCATTTCTACTAAAAATACAAAAATTACCCAGGCATGGTGGTGCTCTCTGGCCTGGGCAACAGAGCGAGACTCAGTCAAAAAAAAA